TATTATTTTTCAACCCGCATTAATAACAGGTTGGGCCGATTTTTATCAACAGTTTGATGCCCTAAAAGAAAAGAAAAAGAAGCAGCAGCAGAAGCAGCGGATCTCTTCATCTTGACTCTACTCTACTCTACGCCCGGCGCGACCACCTCGCGCGCCGTAATGAAGCTCACACACGCACAGAGTCACGGGGCAGCGCCGCTTCAGATGGCGTATCGCACACGCGTCCGCACGAGCACAGCGAGGCGCACGGACACACACACGTGCGCGCGCGCACGAGCCCCAGGTGCACGCGAGGCACGCGCGCCCGCCCGCGTGTCATCTGATGCCCCCGGCAGCCCGCAGGCTGCAGGAGGGCACGGCACACGCTGCAGGACCTGCTGCAGGCCACACAGGAGACCTGATGCAGGCCACAGGCCACACTGCAGGACCTGCTGCAGGACCTGCTGCAGGGCGCACTGCAGGACCTGTTGTAGGGCTCACTTGCAGGACCTGCTGCAGGCCACACAAGAGACCTGGTGCAGGCCACAGGACACACTGCAGGACCTGCTGCAGGGCTCACTGCAGGACCTGCCGCTGCTTTTTCGCCCGTCTCCTTGCCGAAGAAAAGTACTTTCCCATTATGATTCTCAGACAAGCCTCTTTGAGTAAAGCAGCAGCGATACGATGGACGTCGCCGCCAATGAAGAGGATCAGGGGCTTGTCGGAGTATCGGAGTATTGAGACCAGATTGAAAGCACCTTTGCGCCCGCCCCGTCGCCGGCCGGGATCGACAGGAGGCGAGCGGAGGGGCTGCTGCTGGCTGCTGCTCCTAAAACACATTAAATCGGGGACATCGCCTCTGTCGGAAGCCACACCCAGAATAACGACCTCATCTAGCAGCAGCAGCGTCCTCCAGCTGTGGTCAAGTCCGGCAGAGAGGGGGGGGGGGAGGACCAAAACAAGAAGTAACCCTTTGACAAAGCGCCCGATAAATATAGTGGCGACCTGGGGCCTCGGCGGGCCATGAGCGTTCCCCCCGCTGACCGTTTAATCAACGCATAAGACATGAAAACACACTCGATGCGCTCGGCTCTGCCAGGCGTGATAGTTGTGTGTGCGCTGTGCGACGGTAGCCGGCCCACCCCCCACAACCCTCTCTCCCTCCCACCTTCCTTTCTCTGACAGGCACGATTTTTCTCGTGTCTGCGTCGTGGCGCGTCCGTCCCCCCCCCCGCACGGCCCCGCCGTCAGCCGCCCCAGACGCGCGAGCCTCGCCCCCCTGTGAACTCTTATACCGTGAGCCCGGCGGGGAGGTTTATCACCAACACTACGATATTGAGAGAGGCATGCGGGGCCGCGGGGGTTCACAAACATAACAACAGTACAAAAGAAATACAACAGACGAGCGTAAGAAATTCACCCCCTCCAGTGTATAGGGCGCATCATACGAAGAAAAGAACATAGGGTCCACACTGATGAACGCCAACACACGAAATGTAACGAATGTACGCAAGGAATGATCTGAGGAAGAACGAGAGAGACAGAGACCAAGGAAAAAAAACCTCTGACTTGGTCAGTATTTGAACCTCGGACCCTCGGTGCGTGCGCTGCATACGGCGCCGACCGAACAGGTGCTCAGGTCTTTAATGAGTGAAACACTCCGGAGCCTTAATTAAGACGAGCCGGAGGAGCAGAGTTTGTGTCGCTCTCCGCTCTCCCTGGCAGTGCTTGTGTTTTACAGCGCTGCCGACGGGTTTGATTGTAAAATAAAAATACACCACATCGGAGGAAGAGAGAAGAGGAGTATAGAAAAATAAAAGTAAATGAAAGAAAGAAAAAGAAAGAAATGATAGCAGTGCAGCAGCAGCAGCAGCAGCGCTGTGAGCTGGACGTACGGGGCCGATCATTAGAGCGAGTAAACCGGACAGAATAAATAAGGCGTCGGTAATGACTTACTCAATAGGGAATATAATACAGGCGGTCCAGGTCTGTGCTGCCCGTGGCGTGGCTCTGCCGGACAACTAACAAATCACACAGGGGAGGAGGGTGTCCGCGCTGTGCGCCGGGTCCACGCAGTACAGCAGCGTCTCCACCACACCGCCCTGCTCCTCCCCATCCCGACCGCTTGACCGCAGCCCCCCACTCCACTCCCTTTAGGCCCCTCTCAATCCCGCCGCCGCGCGTCCTCACACAACCGCACGCTCCCCCGCCGCAGCCAGCCGGCTCGAATGAAAACGTCAAAAGAATTTTGAAAGGAATATACAACACACCTGGGGCACACTGCGTCCCGTACCGCCCCGCCCCGCCACGCCGTGTGCCCTTGGGCCACTATGGGTTTGGGCCCGGGCGGCGGTGCAGGTGCGCGCACGGCCAGCGAGGAGGATCAAGACGGAGGAGACCATACGCTCGTCACTTTATTTCTACACTGCTTTTTCCTCTGCCCATGACTTCAGTCTATGACTCTAATTTTTTTCTCTTTTTCTTCTTTTTCTTCCCCGCGCGCCGACTTTGAAAACTATGGGCACCACCGATACATCACCGGTGCCAAGGTAGTATGCCAGGCCAGCTCGCGCGAGCGAGTAGAGTGCGCTCTGTGCCCTGATTATCATGAAGGGAACCGCTACACACATACGGTACGGGCAGCGAGAAAGCACAAGCAGAACACACTTTTTTTTGGTATCCCTCTCTCCCTCCCCCTCTCTCCTCCTCCCTCCCTCTGCTTCTCGAGAGAGAGATACCGGAGAGTCGAGAAGCTTTCTAGCAAAGAAAAGAGGGGGAGTAATTTGTCTAGAATTTAAACACAATTTGTGCGGAGCAAAAAGAGAGGAAGAAAGAAACATCATCAGTCTTGAGACGGCGGCGTTGTGCCTGGGCTCGGCTGGGGCGGCGGCGGCGGCGCGGTGTGGAGCTGGGGGAGCGGACGGACAAGAATAAGATGATTGGTAGGTGGAGTGAGGTTGGG